CCCCCACTCAGAAGCAATGGTTTTCCTCACTTATATTTATCGTCTCAACCTCAGGATCTTTTAAGGCAATTGAACCTCTTTGAAAAGCCTCCTCTGATTCAGGGATAAAGAACACCAACTAAGAGCAAGTTGAATTTGAATTTTAGTTCATTAAACCATCTTCTCTCTTCTTATAGTTTGTTTTATGTAGGAATAAGGTGTAGGTGTCACCATGATTCGTTGATAACCAATGTACTTTAGGGCCAGGATAACTTTTCCTCTTGCTGCCCAACATGAGTCATTAAAAGAAAATATTAGGACAGGCCCTCATGCACCACCACCTTTCTCTTTGTTCCTTTTACAAATCTGCGAAGCCCCTACTTACTACACGTGAGGCCTGGGTCCGGAGCTGTTGATAAAGCGATGAGTCAGACCCCCTTTCTGCCCTCAGAGACCTCCCAGTCCCATGAGGAAGTAGACAGGTAGGTGGGCAATTGCCACTCAGGGTCCATATTGATGGACACGTGGGGGCTCCGGTGGTACCATAGAGACTAAGGCAAGGAGGTGGGCGGGCAGAGTCGTCTTCAAGAACTGTCATCAAAGAAGAACACACATGCTCGTTTATTCCCCTCTGCGGGTCTGCCTCGAGGTTCCATTGGAACAAAATCAACCTCAGGTGCATCCAACAGGCTTGCCCAGCACCTCCTATGCCTGGTGACTGTGCTGAGCTGGGGGCTGCAGGAATGAACAGCGGACACGGCCTCTTCTTACATGGAGCTTATTGTCTCTGAGGGGAGACAGACGTTAGTTCAAGCAGCATGGATTAGGTGTTCGTGGTGTGTAGGCAACACGGGTGGAGGGGATGAGAAGACACAGTCCTTGCCCAAATAGGAGACGTCGGTCCTTTCTTACCTGTTTGGGAGGGAAATGAATCCAAGACCGAAGATGGGCAACAGCAAATGTATATTCCTTTCTCATCTATTTGGAAGAGATCTCTGCAATATTCCAGCCCTCATCTCCCTCCCAGAATATCTAGGAGAGCAACCTGTGAATTAAGCTCCTCCAAGACATTCTAAGATGTGAGGCTTTAGAAAGCATGTAGAATTTTATTGTTAAATTAATTTGGGGAATATTAATACATGCAGATGGTTAAAAAGAATTTAAAGGGTAAAAAGTAAAATTTCCTTCCCACCCTTGCCCCGAGCCTCTCAGTTCCCTCCCCACGGACAGTCACCATTAGGGACTGTTTTACCTCCTTTCAGGGAACCTGTGCGAACGCACGCAGGCATGCATATACATTCCCCCTTTGTTTTATGCATGTGGCCCTGCTCCTGGCTTTTTAAACTTAAACTATACACTATGGAGACTGCTCATTTCAGTATAGAACTGCCTCCTTCTTTCAAGGGCTGCATAGCAGGGATGAACCACGCCATATTTAACCAGCCGCTCGCTGACAGAATTTATGGGGCTTCCAGTCCTTTGCTGTAACAAACAATGCTGGAATATGTTGAGGAGTAATAGGAGGAGAAATAAAATTGTATATAAAATATATGATCAAGGTCAAATATTATTTTAGAAATAGCTAGATTTAAACAATCTGTAGCAAACAGATTTGTACCAAAAAACAGACCTGAATGTGTAAAGACAGTGAATTAAAAAACACTGCTCAGTTTATCACCAATGGGGTTTATAAGACATAGAGAAAAGTAAACATCTGGTCCTTAGCATGATATTGTTCATAGAAGCATAATATGGTTTGCACATACTTGGAAGAAAACCAACTGACATTGGGGTCATCCCCAAGGAAGGACATCACCAACCCCAAGCCACTGCTTAGATGGGAATGACATCATCATCTCCAGAAGTGCATATGCAAGCCTCATTCTGGCACAGAAGTGGGTCGCCTTGCAGAACCACCTACGGGTGGTACAGGTCGTCCCATGCAGGTGTTAGGAGAGGTAAAAAGGGGAACAGAGGAGGAGTTGGGGGATGTGTAATTTGTAAATATGTGCACAGGAGTTTGAGCCTCTTGGGGCTCAGTATGTTTGTAGCCTCTCCAACCTGCCAGTCATCCAGCACAAGGTCTGCATCTCTGCTGCCACCCCTGTGATACTGACCAGTCAGCATTGCTGCCTGGAGGAAACCCAGGACCAAGGCCAGGAGCAGGTCCACCCTCCTGGCTCTAGATGACGAGGCTGACCCTAGAGCCATCCGCACGGTCCCCTGCGAGTGAGGTAGCTTCCCTGCCTTTCTTACTCGCCTGCAGTGGGCAGTCCTCACAATGTGGTTCCTGTAGGGAAAATCCCCAGAAGTGGAATTTCTAGTATATGTAATGTTATATTTTGAAAGGTAAAAGAAGATTAATACTGACTGATATACCCACCAGCCCTGTAGGAGGTTCTCTGCAGGGGGTTATCACTCTTTTATCTTTGACTGTTTGATGAATCGAATCTAAAAAACAAACAGCCCTCATTTGCATTTCTCTTAGGAGTGAAGGTGATTATCTTTTCTTATGTTTAAAGGCCATCTGCTAGGGTCGTGTTTTTCTTTCCTTGTAAGCTGTTGGTTGGCATCCTTAGTTGAATTTCCTATTAGGTTAACAACCTTTTCTCACTGATTTATGGGAACCTTTCTTCTATATAAGGGAATCGGGTCTTTCGTCTGACACGTGTTACAAGTATTTTTCGCAGCTTCTTGTTCATCTGTTGACTCTGAGGTATTTTCCCCTTCTAGAAATTTTATATCATTATATAGTCAAGTGCATCATCTTTTTCCCCTCTGATTTGGAATCCTGTCTTTACCATATGATAAAGTGGAAGAGAAGAATTCTTAAAAGAAGACAGAACCAGCCACAATAAGCCGGTTTGGCTGGAATGGCAGGTGTTTGTGGAAATGAGACTGGGAGGATCTCTCCCGAGGCGGAGGGCTCTGCACCGTGGACAAGCAGGAGCCCAGGGGCAGCTTCAGGGCTGCAGCAGCAGGTTGGCGTTTGTTCAGTCCCAATCAAGACCACACAATTGATTTGCTTGGGAACTTGTCATTGCAGTCGCTGATCACCTGGGAAGGCGATGTCCTCGTGTGCGTGCAAAAGGGGGAGAAGGAGAACCGTGGCTGGAGGCAGTGGGTTGAAGGGGACAAGCTATACCTGGTAAGTTCCCAGGGTCTGCCCAGCTCCCTTGCACTGTGCTCACATGAGCTGCCTGTTCATCGAGCCAGGCACCTTGACAAGAAAAATGGCCCCGCACTCCTCCCCTGAGCTCCAGCCAAATGCGTGTGGTCATATAGTCAGAAAGCCATTCCTATCTGGCTCAGGGGTCTCCGGGAAGAAATCTATATGGCCGTTTCTGTGAATGGCTGCAATGAAAATGGAAGTTCAAAATGCTGAGCTAGGGAGCTGAGATCCATGGAGAAATACAGGAAACCTGTTAAAGAGCAGCTGGAGAGAAATGTGAGGCACAGAATTAAGATGTCCCAAAAGAAGGTGGGACCAGGCCTCCTTGCAGTTTTCTGAGCCTGGAAAAAGAGGGGTTGGGGTGCAGATGGAATGGACAGGGGGCAGCTGGGCCTGTGAACTGCTTGTAGACCACAGGCATTGGCCTCTCATCATAAGTTATATCCACCTGATCCCAAAATATTTTAGGTTATTCGGTACTAGCACAGAGCAGTAGGTACCACTGCGGATATCCTTAAATTACATCTGTGTAGGTAGCTTAATTTTTCATTCTTCAACCTTCATGGCAATCTATGGTTCAAACTTTCAAATAGTGAAAAATCTTTCACTCCTTCAGGCGTTCAGTCACTCATTTGTTAAATAAGTGGTTCATTCAACTAATGGCTCTTCATTCATTCATTCATTTGTGGAGCCAGGCAGGTACCTGGCTCCAGTGTCAGTGTTCAGGTCACCATGATGCCCTTCAGAGCCAGCCTTGCCTCACCTGAGATCTTTATTTCAGAGGCAATGTCAACCGATGACAAATGGGAGGCATTCACTGTGTTTTCCATTGACAGTGTTTCCTACCTGCTCTGGTTTGGATGATGGATCTTTTTAATTGAAGTGCAATACCCAGTGGTCCCTGTGGTTAAGACAATGGATTCATCGTCAACTGCAATGATTTCATGGTGGTCCCCACACTCATGTTTTTCTTTCCTCCCTTAAAGGGTCATGAGTGACAGATAAAGCTTGAGGGCTCCCTCTGTCTGGATGAAAAACAGCATCTTGTCTGCAGCCCACACCCTTTCATTGCCTGGGCCACCACCAACCAACATTCTAATCTCCAGAGGCCAGAAAGCCCACAGGGTGGAGGGGCACCGCTCAGCAGCAAGCATCTTCCTAGGCCCTTGCCCTCTGAACGCTTCTCCCCACTAAATACTTCTCTTCTTCACGGTTTTGCTGCCTTTTATAAATTAGGTGATGTCGCTTTAATCACAAAAGTAGGAGAAATCCCCCCCAAGAGGATAATTTCTTCAAATTTTTCATTTTTATAGTTGTTCAAGCTCAATTCAAGTGTCAAAATCAAATTACTGCCACCTGCAGGGCATGCCAGCTGATTGGATCCAGGAGAAGCACTTTGCCCAGAATAAGTGTCCTCTTTATTACAGCTCCCCCCTCCTTCCCCGCCCAAACCACAAACACCAGAGGACCAGGGGTAGGACAGAAGGAAGGCCCAACCTGCTCCTCACTCACCCACTTTCTGATGTTGCAGGAGCTGACATGCTGTGACCAGGTGTGCCGTCAAGTGTTCAAAAAGAAGTGATGGCCACGAGAGGGCCACTCCACACTCCAAGTGAAGGGTTCTTTACTGGCTTTGAGAAGCAGCCATGGGGACCCTCCCATTCCTGACAGAGCCCGTTAAGACATCTGGATGGTTTTAAACAGGATGAATGTGTAACAGTGACAGACATACTCTTCCTTCTTTGAAACCTGGCATTAAAGGAAAAAACAAAAATCACTCTCATACTTTGAAATCCTTTATATCTATCTTCCTTTGTTTCTAGATCTGACAGTTTTCTATGCAAGCAGAAGAGGTGACTGCCTTCCTATGGTTTTCTGTGTGGCTCTGTTATTTATATTTTAGTTTAGTTTAACTTGGTTTGTTAGTTTTTTATTTGTTAGTTTTTTATTTGTTAGTTTTATATTTTAGTTTAGTTTAACTTGGTTTGTTAGTTTTTTATTTGGGGGGTTGTTTTACCTGGACATGTTCTCTGGCCAACACAGCATCACCTACCAATTCTTGAACATTGACTATTTGAGATTCATTCCTTTAGCTAGAACATTCATTTCTCCAAGATTCTATTTTAAGATACATATGGCTTCCAGTTTGTACTTTGCCTGAGCAGCATGGGCAGAGCTACTTCTAAAGGCCTCTTCAGTTCTGCAATACCAGCTGTCCTGCCCTTCAGCCCAGGGCAGATTGGCATCTCTGCAGAGGGCTAGCCAAGAACTGCCAGACAGCCTGAGTTCAAGTCCTACCTCTCCACTTCTTAGCTGGTTGACCATAGGCACATTGTTTGGCCTCTCTGTCCTTGTTTTCCCCTTTTATGAAGTGGACAAGACAAAAATAGTATCTCCTCCACTGGGTCCCTGGGAGGCTTAAGCAAGTTAATACATACAAAGTGCTTAGAACGGGACCTGGTTCCTGCAAACTCTGGTCATTATGTGGAGTTACTCCCCCCACAGTCCCAGGTGTCCAAGTGAGTGGATGCTAAATAGTGATAAGTCAGTACCTCCAAGGCCTCTGGGTGGTTCTAGAACATTAGATTCATACTTCTGAGAAGCATTGTATTTTCCTGCTGGATACACAAGTGCAATAGTGCACCAGGGAAAGCTGAGTAGTTAACAGGAACGAATTTATGGTGGATCACTCATGGGGTCCTAGGAAGGCACTGCAGGTCAAAGACACCTCCTTCGTGGCACTGCAGCAGGGCCTGCAATCCCACCAATAGGCAAACATTGCCCTTGAAAAGTAGGTTTATCCCAAGTTGGTCAGCATGTGGGATCAGCACACTCTGGTATGATTTGAATGATCAGACCATTCATTGATCCTGAGCATCCTAAATGCGATTGGAGGCGGAGAGAAAGGCTGTACCAGGCCAGCCTTGGCTCCAGCCCTTGTGGACAGATGGCCACGACCTGGGCTTCCTGGAAGGCTGTGCTTCCCAACAATAATGGCATATTCCTGCTGCAAGAAAGCCAGAGAAGTGCCTGGCTGGGGTCTCATGCTGGCTTGGGAACCTGAGTGAGGTTGCGGGTATCTTCCCATAGGCTCTGGGGTAGAGAAGGAACCTCCTGAGGAGGTGCAGCCCATCTCCTGTGGCAGATTGGGAACCCAATGGAAGGACTGGTTCATGGGACCTTTGTCCCCAGCTTCCCTGGAGCTTTTCCAGGTGCCCCATATTCCCCTGTTGATGCCTTCCCAGTCTTGCTCTTGCCCACCACAGCCTCAAATGACCCTCTTTGTCCCTCGAGAAAACCCTATTGAATGAAATCATGTCTGAAAGCTCATTGGGGACCAGCTATAAAGTATTCTGCACATGTAAGGGGTTATATTTATTAGTATTTTTGATCCTAGGGTTTGCAAATGTACTGTAGGGTCTGCTAGCCCCCAAAGATGCTGTGACAAGGTTCATGGTCAAATGAACCTCAGGAATGCTGAGAACTATATCCACCTTCTTAGAAATTCAAAGTGAGAATTAGTTTCTCTGTAGCTCCGAAAAGACCTGCAGCAAAGCCCAGCCATAAACCCTGGGATCCCCTTTGCCCTGCAGCGTTTCAAGTCCACAGGGTGTTTAGAGCACACAGTGCTCATTCCCTACGTGTACATAGCACTTTTTCAATTACAGAGAACAAACAATATAATTTAAAACTCCCATTTCCCACATGGGATTTTCTCTGTATATTTTTCCACAAATGAAGAGAACTGAAGGAGTTCATTTACATATAGTGTGAAAGCTGATCGTGGCTGCATTCATTCTACTGATCGTTCTTTCTCAACAAAGGTGCATCTGAACATGGAAGCGGTCAAATCTGAGGTACCTATTTCAAAGCCAGGCAGATATTTGGGGTCAGGGTCTGCCTTCCAGTCCTGCTCTCACTGGCCGAGTTAGGGCAAGTCACCTGCCTCATATTTCTGTTCCCTCAGCCAATTTCAAAGCCAAACCATGACAGAGTGCTTCCCCCCCCCCCACCCCCCACTGACAAGGCTGGTGGGGACATAGTGAAAGAGGTCACCCTTTAAAACCCACTGAGGATTACATTGAGGAGGGGTGGGCCTGGTGGGGAAGACTCTCAGAACCTTAGAACTCCAGCCTCCAGGAGCTGTCATGAGAAAGGGTGGGGTTAGCTATAAACCAGGGGTGTTGATCTTGAAAATTAAAGAGAGCCTGTCCCATGAAAATCCTGGCCCACCAATGGGCAGCATTGCAGGGGGGCTCTAACATTGACTTCAGCCGCAGCCCTTGGTTCAAATCCTGCCCCACGGCTCTCCAGCTGTGTGACTATGCAGCAGTTACTTCCCCTCCCTGAGCCTCTGTTTCTCCATCTGTAAAATGAGTATGGGACCTGCTTCATAGGGGGTAGTAAGGATTGAATCATATCTTAGCACAGTGACTGAAACAACAATTGATACCATATATATGTGTATATGTGTGTGTGTATAACTTGCACATATAGACATACACACACATACAGCAGGTCCTCAAATAATGTTGTTTTGTTAAAACACTGATGAGAAAATAAAAAACTGATTCCCTGGCGGGGCCACTGTCAGTGTGGAGTTTCCACGGTCTCCCTGTATCTGTACGGATTTTCTTCGGGGACTCTGTTTTCCTCCCACATCCCAAAGATGTGCAGGTGAGGTTCATCGGCGGGTCTGGATTTCCCAGCCTGAGTGCGTGAGTGTGTGCAGGTGTGTGTGTGATGCGCCCTGTGACGGAAGGGCTTCCTGTCCAGGGTTGGGTCCCACCTTGTACCCTGAGCTGCCAGGATGCGCTCCAGCCACCCGAGACTGGAATGAGAGGGCTGGAAAATAATTATCTTACTTGCTTTTATTCATCTTTCTTTTCTTCCGTCTCCCCACCCCAGCCCGGATTATTTTTATTTTATTTTATTTTTTATTTTTATTTATTTATCTTTATTGTTGAAAGTATTACAGATGTCTCCTTTAGAGCTCACATTTAGCTCAATGTTTAATATTAGAAGTACTTTGGGTTTTTATTTAGAAGTTTGGTGATTTTTTTGTAACCAGATATATGCCTTAGGGACTTAACTCTTGTTTATATCTAAAGTAAAACTGGTTTCTTATGTATGTTTTGCTTAAAGTCACAGTTTCCAAGAATCTATCGATAATGTTAAGTAAGCACTTACTGTACATGCAGATTCTCCACCCCAGTCCCGCACATTTTTACACACGTACATGGTGAGGTAGCTTCCTAAGGGCTTTCTCTGCTTTCTAAGAGCTTTAACACTGAGAACCCTTCCTACAGACCTGCTCAACTTTGAAGATCACCAGGAGGACTTATTGAAAACACAGATTCCTGCTCCCTCCCCCTTCCAGACTGTGGCTCTGAGGTCATGGGCAGGGCCCAGAAACCAGTGTTGTTAGAAGCTCCCCGGTTGAGTGGCCGGCAGGGCAGGCTTCCAAGCACAGGCTGACACGATCCAATCCACGGGCCAGGAAATGCGCTCCGGCCACCGTGGGCAGGACAGATGGAGCTGGGGAGAGGGACTCAGGTCCTCCTGGTCAGAGGCTGTCAGCCGAGTTTGGGGAAGAATGAGTGACAGACCCCGGTCAAGGCCCGAAAGGCCATGGGGAGGGAGGGAAAAACATGAGAGGCGCTTGAAGGAGCCCTGCGCTCGGCAACGGTTGCATGAAGCTCACAGAGGAGGAGGGGCAGTAAAGATGGTTGTGAGTTTGGGGAAGAGGCAGAAGAATGGTCCCCAACATGGCTTAGCAGTGGGAGGGGAGAGGGGATGCCCGGGGGATTTGGGCTGGGCCCAGCCCGCCAGGTAACTGCACAGTGATTGTAAAGGCCGCTGACCTCTTCCCCCTCCCCCGCTGCGCCCTCTGGTGGCTGGAGAGGGTGGGGCCCCAGGAGCAGCCCCGCCTCGGCCTCCGAGGACCTGTTTGAGGCCAGGAAGTGACGATGTCACAGGGTAAGGGAGAGGGAGGGAAAGGCAAAGGGGAAGAGAAAGGAGAAGGGTGGGAAGGAAGGGGAGAGGGGGGGAGGAAGAAAGAAAAGGTGAGCAGGAGAACAGGGCGGAGTAGGAGGAAAGGGCGGGAGGTGGGAAACCGGGAGGGAGAGGGGGAGAGGAGGCTGGGGACAGAGCCTCCCTCCAGGAGGGAATGGAGAGAAGGCACAGACACAAACTGTCCTGACAAACCAGGCTACAGAGACCACAGCCGGAGAGACATCTGCTGCCACTCGCCCCAGAGGCTTTCTCCGGCTTGTACCCACCTCCCCCAAGGCACAGGAAGGTTTAAATATGACTGGCAAAGTCAGCACAGAGCAAGTATGTTTACAGGCCTGCCTGGGTCCTTAAAGGATGTTCAGGGAGAGGATAATAAGGCCTTTGTTGAGCACTTTCTCTGTCCTGGAGCTCTTTCTAGGACTATGACAGAGGAGCTCATTTTACAGATGAGGAAACTGAGGCTCAGACCAGGTCAAACGCTCACCCTGACCCCACAGCTGGTAAGTCAGAGAGGCAGAATTTGAACCCAGGGGGGGTCTGTCTCCAGAATCTGAGGCCCTCCATGAAGGAGGAGGCCGCAGCAGGAACAGGGTGGCCCTCACCCTTCCTGGGCATCCAGACCCACCCTAGCAGGCCCCAGGTCCCTGGCATGTTCAGGAAACCAAAAATGCCGTTCTCTCCCAATCATCTGTAATCAGGTTGTGTTTTTCTTAAATCAGCATTCCCTGTAAGTCTCCTTCAAGACTAATTCCGTGGCAAGCAGGACCTCATTGAATGAGACTTGT